CAGCCCGTCAGCTGTTACCCCCGGCGTCGGACTTCCTTCGCGGTGGGAACGTTCGTATCGACGTCGGCAAGATGGATGCGCGCAAACATCGATCGACATTAATCGCTTAAGTAGGAAACGTCGCGAACGATTATCGCGACATTTCGCGAGATCTCACGGGAACACGAGCGATCGAGAGTAGCAGCGTCCCTTCCGGCGGCGGTTCGCGACGTTTAATTCGAGAGCTCGGGGATTTTAACCACGGGGCAAGGTATATCGGGCGTTTTTTTTTGTACGTGTCCTCTCTTTCGCGCGGCGCTCGCTAAGTACCGCTCGAACGCTTCGTTTCGACTCGGAGCGCCGACGACACCGACGACGATGAAGAGGGTGAACTCGGCCCGGCCGTTTTATCGCGGCTCGCCGCTGAGCAAGCAGGGACTCCATCTCTCACGCAACTTCAGGATTTGATGCATGTGCCGCCGGAACATTTGTTCGATCCCCCTCGAGCTCTTCTCCCCGTCTCACGCTCGTTCCCTCCTCTCGGCTGTCGGGCCGCCTACACCCTCCGGGAAACGGCGGCGCGGCGGGTCTTCTCTCTCTCCTCTGTGTCTTCCTCTTGCTCGAATTTCTTCCTCCGCCGCGTCCGCCCCGTTCGCCCGCGCGTAACCCGCGCCACGGGCCTCCGCCGAGAGAGGGTATTGGACCTTCGCCGTCTCCACGGTGTAGGCAGGTTTATTTTTATTCCATACGATTCATTCGATTGAACATGACTTGTGGTTACAACCCGGGCGATATATTTCCGATATTACGGGACGACATTCCAACTCCCGTGGTCCCGCGAGTCTCCTGTATTCTTTGCCCATATCGGCCGCGCCCGCCCCCGCCGCGCGCGCTGCCATGCCGCCGACCGCGGGGTAAAATACGTGCGATCCTCTCTAGAATAATAGCGGCTTCCGGGGAATTCATGGATGTGCCCGCCCGCTTTCTCGCGGCGCGCGGGCGAGGGGAATGGGCGCGCGCGGTCGTTGCAGCTGGTTCGATTTCGGAAATTAGCCCCCGGTATTTCCTCCGCGGCTCTTGGAAATCCTTTGTCAAGCGAGGCTCCTCCGGATGCTCTCTTTGCCGCGTGGTGATCCGTTAACCCGCATACAGAGATGCAGTGCGCGAGCACAGCTGGATATCCTTGCGACTTGTCTTAATTATGGTCTTAAAGAGGCGAATCAATTTTTTTTCTCGCCAGAGCGATGGGCGACTGCTTTCTCAATCCGTTCAAAGTAACGCAATCAAAAATTGTTTTGATATTACTCGGTAGTTTATCTCGCGCTCTGATTATGTTGAATATTAATATAGCCTTCAATCTCACAGCATCCAAAATAAGTCTGTCAATTCAGCCTTTTTGATCTCTCTATCTCGAATCTTACTTACTCTGGAACGAAATGTGGGAGAAAAGTCAAGAGAACCGCCGAGAATGACTCGAACGTTGAGTCAGAACGTCCGAATTAGTAATTGAATTTTTGTTAAACTATTTCGCGTGTAACACAACGAGAATCGCGTGTATACTCTCAAACTCATTGAATATTATATTAATGTAGTAAAGCACCAACGGCAGGCACGATACTATTTCTCCCACTGAATTGCTTACGAGAGCCAATCAAGATTTAGCCTAGAGTTACCTGATCTAAAACTGTGCGTCCTTATTGGCTCTCGTAAGCAATCCAGTAAGAAAACTGGTATCGTGTGCCGTTGGCTTAAGCGTTAGCAAAGTGTTAACATGAATCTATTGCAATCAAGCGTTGAGATTAACATCGCGGAGGTGCGAATGCAATGAATACGGTACACAATCGCGCGAAAATGCCTGGACTTAACAAGTCCAGCTGCGAGGGCCAATTTAAAGAAGTTAAAGTCTCGTTTAATGTTTGTCGCCGCGCGGAAAGCAGTTTCCGCAGCCGCGGCGACGCGATGCCATTATTGCGGAAACAGCGGACGCGCCCGCTGCAAAATGCGGGCCGTAATAATTGCGCGGCAACGTTAATTCGTTTCCCTCCTCGCGCGAATAATTTTCTACGCAAATACGTGCATGCATAATGGGGCGCCTCTCCTACCCCCCACCGCGGCCTCCTAATTAACACGTTACAGTGTCCTAACGCGTCGCTTCGCCCGAAATCGATACAGCGCGGCATTAATTATTGCTTTACGATGGTCCTTGATTAAATCACGATATCGCTGGTTATGTCGACTCGGATGTCGTAACCAATAGTAACCGTTCGGTAAACACTTTGTCGCCTGGCCGGGGAAAATTCAGTTTGCCGCCCGCGCGCATTAACTCCATTTTGTAATACTATCGCTATCGGGATATTGTACGGCTAACGATACTGTTGTAATTACGCGTGCCACGACATAACTAGGTGCTCGGTAACGATCTCAACGACATTAATACCTTTTATTGCTCTCCCTGCGAAACGTTTTTCGCAAATATGCGTGTAACGTTCACCTTTAAATGACAGATTTGCCCGAATAACGCGCAAACGGGACATTTATTAAATTTTTTTTCACCGGAAAAAGCAATGATTCGACGTGATTGTCGTTCAGGCCAAAAGTACCTACTCGCTTTGAAATACATTTGTGATCGGTGATGAACATAGAATGGACGGTTATCAAGATTTATTTTATAACATATTTTAACAAAAGTAAATAATTTGGAGGGTGTCGTTAGGCCCGTGTACATTCACGAATGTCGAAAATGCCCAGCGAAAATAGTCAATTTCCGTTGATATCTATTCTGTTTATGGCGTGTAATAGTTAATTTTCGAAAGCCTAGAGATACTTTGATGATGACCGTTCGGTTGAAAGCTCGATAATTCGTTTCCGCTGCCGCCCTCGTCGTAAAGGTTGCTAATTAGGCGGCACTATGACAGTGCTAATAAACGGATGCGCTGACACTAACACAATATATCGGTGTTGTGAGGGGCTGGATAACTAACGGCACACCTGAATTATCCTTTAATGAATAGCGATGTTGTGGGCAACCCAGATTTATTCGATTACATGCGAGATTGGTAGTAGTTCGTGTCGCGACCACTCAAATTGGGAATTTCGGAAAGTTCTTCACGCATCAGGCATTAATGGCAACTAAAACTCGCTCTTGTCCGATATAATCCGCGATTGCTGGCCGTTAAAGAATGATAAAAGCAAAGACGATAAAAGTAAACCGCGATAAACATTTTAAGATGTTCAACATGTATAAGCATATTTTTGTAACATATGTTATAGAAATATTTACTAGAAATTTTACTACTTTGATTTAACAGTCGTCTCGGCGTTTATCAATAAACGGATTGCACAAGTTTATTCGAAAAACTGAAATATAATTTATGCAACAGTGAATTATATGCTCACGACATTCTTAATTGCTGTCCGCTACAGAAAAAACTCCGTACATTTTTAATGAAAAATTTGGTTTTCGGTTATATTTGTTGAAATTGAAACATGGACGAAACAGAAAATGTCAATTAATATACTTGTGAGAGACATGTCACAATTTTCCAGATTTTATTTGATTTTTGAAATTATGTTAAAAATAAAAATTGAAGATGCTTATTTATGTGTACGTGTCCAAAAGTTCAAGTTTTAAAGTTTAAGAGAATACAAATAACCGCTCCAATATAACTTACATGTCACGACGATATTTAATTTTAAGTAAGCTATACAAAAAAAACTGTTTGAGATAAAACTTTTACGTTGTTTTAACCGTATATACTTTATAACCGTGTAGGTACTTAAATTTTCTAAATATCTAGTGGTTTTCAAAGTATTCTCGCCATCATCGTTATTTTTGTGAAATTATATTTCTCCTGTGAAGGAAAATTGAAGACAATTTTATGTCAAATTCATTCGTATAATGTGACAAAGTATTTTACAAAATTGCATCTTTGTTAAATAAATAAAATAGTCACTATACGCGTTTTTTCTCTGCAGCGTTTACGGTTCTTTTTTCGTCGCCCTTCTCTTTTCTCTGCATATCCACGTCAAATCGTTTCCACATTTCAATTACCATATATACCGTCACTCAGACGGAATAAGCTTAACATTTACAATTAGACGAAAATAAGCTTCTGAACTCTAAAACTCTAGCTCTCCTAGCTCTCCCAATCCTATTATTTTACGGCTTTGAAACTTTGTCAACTAAACTGATTTTAGGAGGTTATGTCCACACATTTTACCAGGAAAATTACGACAGTAATACATTTTAATTTCGACAAAATAAACCGAAAGTCACTTTCCGTTTAAAATGCGCGGTGTTCTTTGATTGGAGCACTCGTATTTCCTTCTGATTCTGAAGCGCTTATACTGCTAGGACAATATCGAAAATAGAAATACGCTTCTAACGATCCGAATACAAAATCAATTGTCCAATCTGTCACTATAGAAAAGATTAAATGCAACACAAGTAATCGCTCCTGTAAATAATTTTTATTACTCCGACTTGATAAAGAAGCCTGCTCCTTTTCAATTTATTTCGACTCGCACATCTGATTTCATGCGTTTTTTTGTAGCGCAAAGTAATTCACAAAATAAAAACTTTCGCAAACATCGGCCGCAATTAAAAATTTTATTCACTTTACTACCGCGATAAATGTAAAATCTCGTCGATTCTGTTTGTTCAAGAATTGGAATTCAAAATAATCGAAATGTAAATTTTCATTTGCGCGTACAATTGTCCATTCTTGATCAGTCACACTCTAAAATTTTGATCGAATGGACAATATAGTTTTAAAACGTATCGGTGAAATCGGGTTGATTTATATTGCAAAAGGATAATTCTTCATTTTAATATACGCGAAATCGAACGGGAGGTTGAAATAAATAAATAAATAGAGATCGATGAATAATTGTGCGCGATAATCGAGAAAATATTTGCCTCCGCCAGTAGATATCATATTACACATTAAATCCATATATAATATTCCATTATTGCTTCAAATCTTCTTTTTAATAATTTATTCCATTTCATGTTGTTGCAGAGCAAGGACAAAACACGAGCAAGAAAAAGACAACGTTTTCGAGATTACTTCGAGGACTGAAGACGCACAGAAAAGAGAAACAAGGTCAACAAGCACAAGGCTCTCCCAGGCATGGTCGCGCGAGGATGGGCGTTCCTCAAAGGGTAAGCGTGCATTCACACACTATTCAAAATTATATATGAAAAAATCGCGTCGGTATCTCATCAGATCGATTGATTCCCGCTAAATTTGAAACGCAAAAATTCGAAATTATAAAATACTTTTACTCAATCGGAATAATGCACGGATTGTACGAATTTCACAATTTCCCAGCAACCTTTTATTAGCGCTTTCGTCGTACTAGATGTAGGTACGGCAAACGAGCTGAAATTGCTCGCCGTTGCGCCCGGTTTGATCACCGTGCGCGTAGCATCTCAAAGGATCAGGTTTCATCTCGTAAGAATAACTTTTTTTTTTTTTAGAAGCAACCGCGCAACGTTTAATCCCGGATCCACGGTCGTAAACGCGTCCACGTAAATCAGTGTCGCGTAATTGCGTGACCGCACGAAGTTATCATGCGCGTGAAGCTCCTGCGTGAGAGATTTCAACGGCTAAATAATAAACCCCGCGCGTATTTCCCGACAAGAGTACGCGCAAGGTAATTTCCATTGCCATTGCTGCCGTTCGTGCTTTCATTAAGCACCTCCAGTTCAGCCGACAGCGAACTGCCGACACACGAATGACGGAACTCGAAAGAGTTCAGACTCTCGTCCATCTAGTATGCATGGCTGTTTTTTTAGTGTACGCGCTGAACAGCATCTCTTGTCACGCCGGAAAGTCATCGTTTATTACAGTATCACTCGTTTTTCACAATTCAATTGCGTTGTCCGATGACCAAACGCGAACTCGACTTTAATATATGCGTTAATAGGCTACTTGTTTGTTTGCTATTAAAGCTGTCTCGTGAATTACTGCGTACCGCATGCACCAAATGACTTTTGTCTAAGTCAGGAACATCTCTATACAGTTTAATATATTGCTTAAAAGAGGATTTAAAACTTACTCTCGAGATTTTGAATAATTCTTAATATTCTAAAAAATTGGGTCTTGGTTAGCACACTTATTGGAAGAAAAAAAAATTGCTCCGATTGCTTCCGGAGTTTTGCCTTAGTTTCCTCGATTGTGGAAACATAGGAGGAAAGTTATTTAAAAAAAAATTAATCGTAGACACGGATGGCGCGAATTAATTGCTATTTTTATTCTATCCTATATAGATTAACTGGTTACATTTGAATATCTAGTAACTTAAGTTGTATTGACATGAAGTTGATATACGATTTGTAATTTTTGCGTACAAAATAATTTTCGTACAATAAATTAAAATTAGATGCATAATATATTAAAAGGTATATCACAGATTAATTACATAATATTATACTTAAACCGATTTCAATATCGATGAAAACCAATTTACAAAACAATTTTACAAATTTATTTAACATACTTGCTGATCCAAAAATCGTAACAACAATTTTTATATATTAATTCATGGATTTAGCGATCGTTATCTTATTTTTGCAAACAATAAAGATCGTGATAGCTGTAACCACAAGCCGTTTATTTCCATGGCGGGCTCTCGTGTTTCATTCAACGAGATGTTTTCCATCGAATTCCGCGAAAATGTATCCAATTAAAAAAAAGCTGCTGTTAATCATTTTGCGGCACATGATGCACGCGCGGCACGCGTGGTCCTACGCGGTATAACAATTCGATTTACCAATACCGTGTTCACAATGATGGGGCAGCTCCTCCGTTTTCTCGTCCATCGATTCGATCCCGATAACAGTTGCAATGCTGCAAATCGCAATTAAAAAATATTGATGAAAATCAATCGTATTTCTCTGAACAGTCATTCAACCAGAGAAGAATGGCTTTCCAATGGTCTGCAGAAATTCCACGTTTCTGGAATTCTTTTTTTGTTGGTGAATCCATTACATGAGACTTGTTTAGAAAATTGTTATAACAAACCACAATTGTCTCCGCAAGGTGCCTATTTTGCCAATTGTTGATTCAAGTGGCAAATGTCGAGTAACACCAATTACGTACGATATTGCAACTTTATTATATTCAATAATCTAGTTTTGCAACTTGTACGGCTGATCAAAATAATTATACCCGCGCTACATGCAAATCTTTCATTCCTCCAGCGCGTCAAGATATTATTCAATGGCAATTATATGTACGTGCTTGCACGCGTACGAGCATTTAAAGTTTGAATTAATTGCGAGCCTAGAGAATGGAAATAATGTGCCGCGGAACATGAAAAATTCTATACATTTTCGACGCGAAAAGAAAGAGCATTCTATGCATCCGTAAGTACTGCTGAAGCAGTAAAGACTCCTAAGATTTCCCATGTGTCGCCAATTTGTTAACCTCCGTCGACGACTTCGCATCCCACGTGGCCCGCCGTCGTGGGCGCATCTAATTTTATCCGTAGATTAGTCGCCCGATTTATATACGTGCTCCTTGGAATACATATACGTAGGTATATATGTATACATGTATTTCAAGATATCGTAAAATGAGCTCGGTGCTGCAGTTCGTATCGCTCTTTAATGAAAGTCGAGCCGGCGATCATTTACACCGGCTTAGGTATTACTTTTTAATGCTGCACCGCGACCCGATTAGTATAATTAAATTATAGTCACTCTTATCGATCTCGGAACTCACGAGCTATCTCGACAGCCTAAGCCTGCAACAACGGAAGCGGATATTTTAAGTTACAATTGCCGTGATGGATGCAATTTCGATTTAACTGCAGTTGCAGACGTAATGTCGCGAAACAATTATTTCGGTATTAATTTTGAACGGCTTTTGTGCAACAGTTATTATTATCAGTATCATCTATTTTCCATATGATTGAAATCAGAAATTTGAGAAAAGAGGTCACAGCTGAATATTTCATATTGGTAGTTGCAAATGGTCGAAAATTACGCTTCGCGATATGTCGATAAATCACAATCGTTGCGCAGTTTTTTTTTATATATCGGTCTTTTTCCAAATTTCGATGTAACATTTGGCATCGTATATGTATACGTACATATTTCCCGGGACGTGTGATTTCTGTAAATAAATCTCGAAGGTAAACAAAGCTTAAAATTATAAACCAGCGGTGAGTATCGGATGAAAAGTTTCCTGTAAATGAACATTTCCCGGAGGCACGCATACTGACACACGCCAGTAGCGTCGCTTTCGTGTATTAACGGCAAACAAGCCGAGGTTGAGTTGCTCTTGATCTCTCTGTATGCGTATTCCATCCGCATGCACGGGCTGCATCAATGTGTGTGCACGCGCTTGCACCCGTGCATAATGCGGGCAGCCGGCGAGCCTGCAAGTGCCAGCAATGAGATTCCCACGCTTGGTTTAAAATATATACATGTGTGTGTATCTGCGGGTGTGTGCGTGCGTATGTAGGTTTGCGTATATGCGTTTGCGTGAGCATTGGACGTGTGTGTGTCCACCACTGTGGCAGTATCCGAATTTAGAGCGTAAATGCATCTTCGAACAGAGAACGTTAACTCGTTGACCCGCGCAGGTAAATTTATGCGTATGCAATTCGGAAAAATGTGTTTGCGTTACGCTCGGCGATAAAGTGAACGGCGTATTTTTCAGCGACGCTACGGGCCCGTATGGATACATGAACCAGGGAGGAAATGGATTTTATCTTCTTCGCCCGTGCGCGCGAGCAAAAGAGAAACGTGGCGAGAAATTTGCCAAGTTTTCACAATATCGTATGAAAAGCGCTTCTGTTTATTATGCAAACACGAAAGTTGCCGAAATAAATAATGGCGAAATTTAATTAAATTTTCTTGTTCTTTTTTTTTTAAATTTTCATCGCAATTCTTTCAATTATAATAAACGGTTGAATGCATAAGCGATTTCGAAATTAAATCTTAAGAAATTGCACGGCGGTAGCCAGTTTTCTATCGCCCAACTTTCCGCAACTTCTCATTTCTAGAGAGATTTTCGTGACCTGGCATTTTCTGAGCCAAGTATAAATACAAATGGTCGTTTAAACGTGTAAATGCTTCCATAGTGTACTTAGCTTTCTTTAATTAACTTCCTTA